GGTGAGAAGCGACCGTGCTCTGGTCAGGCATCACCCGCCGGGACACGTCGCTTGTTGCCGGCTAAAGAAAGAAAGAGGAGTTTAATTTCCCAAATTTGATTAAAAAAAAGTGATTCGGCCGAAATAAGCGATATTGGAAAGATGAAATCTTGCTGCCGACAGTGCAGTTGGTGTAATGTCCGGCTGTATCCCACTGAGAAAGCTTTTTTGGCTATATTAAGAGTGTACCACATTCAGGATAACTTTACGAACTGCTTATTAACAACTTTTACTTAAAATTCTTCCTAAAAAGTAATCTAAGGAGACTGAATCTTGACTTTTTCTGCTGCATCATTTCTGAGCATTGCAGCTTGGTATTCACATCATCTCCATGCCTCTCTCCCTTTCCCATCAGCATTAATTAAAACAAAAAATCAACAAGAACTCTTTAATGTAGGTTTTAAAAATAAGTAGCTATAATAGCAAAATTATTTCCGTCAGTGTTTTCATAGCTTTTTCTAATCCCTAACAGACTTCCCACCATCTTCACAACAAAGACTTGGTGGCTGTTCACAACAAGCAGTTTAAGAACCCCAACATTTAGTTTAATAAAGGATGTCAAACACCAGAATTGGTAAGGTGAGGTGAGGAATTAAGAGGTTTGCTTGGTGGTGCACTGGAACTCGATGCCAGAAGGGGCTAGAAATGTTTTCTTTTTGCTGTATAGGCTCCTTGGGCTCCCCACCAGCGCCAGGCAGGTTTGTACCCAGTGGTACAGGTACTCCATGGGAGCCGAGCTGTGTTCCCACACCGCTGCTCGAGATACACCTGAAACAAAGAAGAGCTGTAACTCCAACAGGAAAAATCAAACCCTTGAGCATTGTCACCAGGAGACCAAATAGAGATCATCCCATCAGTGCTGCTCTCCCCAAGCCCAGTAAATTCCACCCCGGAAAATGGTGGTGCTTTGAAAAGCACTTTGAAATGCTGCACACACAGCGTTCTTGTGGTCACTGCCATTTTATTAGAATTTATCTTGCACAAAGTGCTCTGCTGTGTTTTAATGCTAAACATTTGATAATTAAACATGTAATGAGAAAAGTGAGGGTTTTTCCTAAGCTCAGATTTGATTTAAGAGTAATAAACTTCAAAGCTCCTTTACTAAATGCTATTAAAGGTCACTGCAGCATCATACCATAAAGGTTGCTGTGTAGGTCATTATGTGCTCTCTTCTTTATTACAGCACACATATATGGAACATATGGGCATTATCTGGTGTTAATTTTAAAGGAATTCCTGTCATTTTGAGTTATAGCTGTATTCACCCCACTGATCTGACACTACTCAGAGTAAGTTCCATCCTAGGAAACCAACCCTTTGTAGCATACCAGCAGTTTGCCAAAGCTATAATAATCTTTCTAGTTAGATCTTGTGTCCCTAACTGGAGGGAGACTGGATGTTCTAGGCCTGCTTTGTTCTTTCCAGTTAATTAGTTTAATATATATGAGTCGAACGCATGAAAAAGAACTCTGAGTGCATTTTGTGTTCACCAGTGGGCAGGATACTGCTGATTGATAAATATCCCCAGCTAAATTAACGCATCTTGACCATATTTGATTTTTAACAGGCCTCTCAGACAGGCATTAGCTCATCAAGGGAGAGATCTCAATGAGAACAACAGTCATTTCTCTTGCAGAGATATTGCAAATAATAATAGCCTCTTGACTGCTTTGGCACAAAAAAAAAAAGCCCATATTCATTAAAAGAGAGGAAGACAGGCTGAAAACCAGCTCCTGTATATGGCCAGTGAGTATTTTAAGTACCTGGCAGATGGTGTTTACAAAGAGGAGGGCCCACACTGTCCTCCCACACTCACGTTGCTGTTTGGAGCTGGGTCAGTCCCTAGGGCAGGGCACGGAGGCCTGAAGTAGATTTGCTTGCCAAAAGAGCCATCATTCTTAGTACGTCTTTACATATTACTTGCCAAAAGCATGATCATTCTTCATATTTTTATCTGGAGATTTACAATGAGATCGCTTGTTCTGGTAGGTTTCAAAGCTGATCTGCTCCCCTTTCCTTAAGGCAGTGAATTTTGATTCTAAATTTAACAGGTTGACTTTTATTGACCAAAAAAGACTGCAGACATTTAGGACCCTTTATCTGTTGTTTAATCTATTGTGAAATCAAAGTTAATTTCTGAAGAAAGGACCTTAAAAGCTGAAGGTTGTCACTGACACTGTTTTATTGCTGAGCCACGTCTGGTAATCTCACAGTTAGTTTATGATATTTACCAGCGATGCAGTCCAGAAGCAGCTCTGCTTGAACTTGCACAGATGCAGCAGTTGGATCAAAGCAATAAATCTCCTGAATCAAATTATCATCAAGTTTCTGTAATGCAGAGAACAAAAAGAGTCAGATGCCAGTGAGAAACTTGAGAGGGCTACAGAACTAAAGATGACTAAGACAAGCATCTAAGAAATCTTTAGGTAATTCCACTGTATCTTGTGGGTGAGAGGGGGGAAGAAGAGAAATCAAGGTCTCAACATTTTGAAGTCTCACCAGTTTACACTGACTCCAGTTCTCAGTCTCCTCTGAGCCCTTCCAGTCTGGATGGAAAAGCACGAGCACAGCCTTAACTATGCTATGTACCAGAGCTGGCGGTTCTACATAGCTCTTTATGTCAGCAAAGCTCTCAGCATTGAGTTTCCAGACACACTCACGCAGGTCCTGCAGCATGAACCAGTGGAACAGAATCCCTGCATGCCTCAAATTTGCCTCGTGTTCTGCCTCTGGAATCAAAAGCAAACCTTTCAAGAAGTTGCTCAGAAACATCTGCTACTCAAGGTTTGTGTTATTGCCTGAAAGCTCTGCCCTGTTTAAGAGTAACTCTTCGTCTCCTAGACTGACTGGTCTGTATGCAGCCCAAGAATCCTATGAAACTCTTAAAAATGGGTGCATGTTTGAGGAGCAGACAAAACTTGCCTTAAGGGCATGAAGGGTTCAGGCATGCAGGTAACTGTAACTGTGACATTCAAATTCTTCTGATCTCAGTTGGGGCAGTTCTGAGCAGGACATGCTAGACCCCTGAAGGCAACAAAGCTTCATGCCTCTGATTTCAGTAGGACTTGGGCACAAAATACCCTCTGAACCAGAGTCAAAATCTAAACATCCTGTTTAACTGTACTCTGCTAAGCACTTAGGCTTGCTCAGGAGTAGTTTACGTGTACCAAAGGTTTGTATTTGTCATTCCATACTTGTAGGAATGATACTTCAGATATGGCTTTACTGAGGTTCCTAATTTCAGCCCTAAAACCCCTATCTTGGCTCTGTATTCACAATACCCAGTGCATAGGTTGGTTCTGTTTCATCTAAAGCCATCTTCAGTATCTCAGAGCAGGCAGCTTGGACTATCTTTAGCATTTTCTGCAGGTCTTTGTGTTCATGAGGTGGTAATTTCTGGTCGTGTCCAATGTTGATGTCAAATAATCCAAGAGCTTGTCCTGATAGGTCACGGAGAGGTACTGCAATGTGGTATTCTCTGTAGACAGAAGTGTGAATGACTCCTGAGCTGTCTATGCACTTAAATAGGTAATCTCTGAAATGAGAGCAAAGAGAGGAAAACCATCCCAGTTACTTCTGGTTATATATTTAGCATATTTTAGTAAGATGCAGTTCATCTCTTATTGTTAAAACAAAGATATTACATTATTAAATCATTGTTTATTTCCTTGAAATGAAATGCAAAGCTTTAAGTATTATTCAAGCCATACACAAAAAGGAGAAAATAGCATTGTGGAGCACAGTATTGCTTAGCCAAGGCAATGACTGACAATCATAAGAATTTAACAAACCTTGCTTTAAAAAGTTTCCTGTTTATAAATGCATTGACATTTGTTCTGTAGAGTTTTATGAAAAGTAAAACATCTGCTGGAACAGCAAATGGCTGTTCACCCAACTTTGACAACAAGAAGGACATGCTTCAAAGACAAGTCTGTGAGGATCTTGGCAGTAAGGAAACAGTTGAAGGAAATGAGACTAATATGGCCAGGAAAAAAAGACAGATTATTCTAAAGAGTAGAATGGTTCAGTGTAGGCTCTAATCCTGCAAACCTTTCACAGCAGATGTAGACCTTGCATGGCATTTCAGCTGGAAAGTATTAAGTAGGAAGTTATGTTTTTGCAGGCCTAAACTCAAAGAGAAAATACTCCTCACCCCTTCCTAATTCAGTATCACATGGATCCACACCAGCAGCTTTGATAGTGGGACAGCTGCAGCCAGGCACTCTTGCAGGGCTGCACTACCATGGGCTTTACATACCGTGGATCAGACCTGGGGCCGGCTGCAGTCTCGGCCCAGAGGTGACAGGATCTATTGCATGTGCTGAGCCTACCTTAAGAGGTTTTCTTTTCTGAGGAGAACAGGAGAGCTATGAATTTCCTTTTGTCCTGTATTATCTATAGAAGTCATCTTGCGCAGAGTGTAGTTCCATGCCTGCCAGAGAGAAAAGGGAGGTTTAGCTGCATCCAAGAAAGGAACAGCCATGTTGAGGCTTGGAGAGGGAATAAATTGTTTCTTAAACTCCCATGTACATTCAAGTGCAATGGGATGGTTTAAAGACATCTCCCAACAATGCCTGGTTTTGTTCCCAGAGTGTATTGCTCAAGATGTATGAAGAATGTGCCCTGGACCTCCCTCTACCAGACTATTTAATCCACCCCCAGGCTCCACTCTGAGGAACACCCACAGGCCAAGAAGAGGTTTCCCTTCTTCTTCCCATCCTCTTGCTGTCCTCTTTCTCATGTCACGTTTGTGTCAGTGTGCCTTGACACGTGAAAAGCACAGAGGGCAGCAAGTGACCAGGCTATCAGGCAGCTAACGAGGGAACAGTGCAGTGCCTGGAAAGACAACAGAAAGCTGCCAACATAAACCATGCTTATCAGAGGAAGCAGCTGAATTATGGTTACAGCAGATGTCATACAGACTTTGTGATGACACAGGATCAGTCCTAAATATTGCATACACTTTTCATCTTCTTAACTCACTTGTCCATGAAGTGACAAGCTTCCCAGGGCCCGAGTGCCTGCTCAACAACTGGAAGATGATCTACAGGGAAGGGGGCTGCCTCTACAAGCTAGATAATTAGGAAGCAGCCACTTCCTGAGGTGTATTTACATCTTGGCTGCTGACATTAGTTCAGAATGAAGAGCTAATACATTAGTCAAGACATGCTATTTTTCCTATAAAATGCCATATTTTTGTCATGCACAGAATCTCCATGGAAGAGCAACTCCCCGTGTGGAGGTGTCAGGCAGCAAAGCTACGGAAGGGTGGGTGGATGGATGGGTGGATGGATGGATGGATGGATGGGTGGAGGAATGTGGGGTTTTGTTCTATTGGTTCCTACAGAACTGTGAGCGTTGAAGTAGGAGAATACTCTTTTTTTTCCCATGGACAAGGGGTTACACTAGCAGTGCTCTTGAATTGTTTTACATGGGAGAATGAATACAATGAAGAGTGGCCTTCTCTACAGAGGGAAACTTCCCTCTCTACCTTTTAGACCTTTGTTGCACAGGCAGGCACAAGAATCTCAGGCAGGCTTCAGCTTTTATGATAAAACCAGTGGAAAACCAGCTAGAAATGGCATGTCCTCACTAAAACAGCCTTTCAGCCCTTGACTATTACATGCTCTTCACAGCAGTGATCTGCCTACCTTGTCTTTGCCAGGCTCCACCAGGTACATAGTAACAGTGTGGATGCTGGGTGCTCTGGGATACAACCAGTCCAGAGCAGTACCAGTCATGTGCAGAACATTTTCCAGTGTGCAGATGTGGTGATAGGCTTTGCTGAATGCATAAGAAACTCCCTGTGAAAGTAGAAACCTCCAAATGAGCCAGACAATTCCGTATGATTTTGGGGAAAAGCTGGGGAACTGTTCATGCAGCAAAATGGTTTTAATAAGTTACTTTAATCAGAACTGGAAGAGCTGAGAAGTGACTGTGCAATGTCCCTTATCAAATAATGCTCTAAAGCTCCAGAGTGCCCAGGTCACAGCCACGTCCCGAGCCAGACAAAGCTGGTTTCAGTGGCCACAGCCACATCCACTGGTAGTGTTGGCTTGCTGCGCTCCCTGCTGCCCAGATCATGCATCGCAGTGAGCCTGATTCTAAAGAGCATCCCAAGGAAATCCAGACTCCTGTTGCTGGTATTTCACCATATTAGAAGTAAGGTTTCATGCCACTTTATGGCAACATAGGAAGTTCAAAGCTTCAGGAAATAAAAACTGCTATCTTTGGGCTTTGCATAAAAGTGCAATTAATTTACTAGTCAGGAGAAGCTTAAATAAGTTATTAATGAAGCAATACCTCATAATCAGTTACAGATAAGATGCTCATCAGTAAGCTATTGATAAGGTGTTCTGCTCACACCACTGTCACCATACACAGTAGAAAGGGACCCACAATTCTTAGCTGTACAAGTTACATTTACTCAGAACAAACATGTAAAATTCACGTGGTCCCTACAGTTTTTTGCAGAGTGGTCTCTAACAAACCCCTTTCTGATGGTGCCCACCTGATAAAAACTGATCTCATGGGCCAGAAAGGTGGTTGTCTCACACTGATCCCGAAGAGTGTCAAGTCCTAGAATGCCAAAGACTCTCCAGCGAGCATCGTGCAAGGGCAGTACCAGGAATGAACCTTTTCTCTCCTCCGCTGGGCGGTCATAGTTCCAGAAGTGGATATTTCCATGGAGCTGAACTCTTGGAACATGGATTGGCTTTCCCTCTTCAACAGCTGCAAAGCTGGAAAATAAACCTCTATGTTTAAAAGTAGCAGAAAACCTTTAGTGAAACAATAAATATTACAGCTTTGATCTCTCCCTGCTTTTTGGCATCAGAGAAGGAGGGTGTTAGCTCCTTACTCTGAGCACACCCAGAAATACCACATTTACCACTTGCATCCCAAAGACACTGGTAATAAATAGGGCACTTTTTATCCTTAGGACATTTAAAAAAAACATCAGCTAATGAATGTAATGAAGAGGAATACAGAAGCAAGCAGCAGTTACATTTAATAGGTTAGAAGAACATTTAATAGGTTTAAAGAAGCAGCCAAATATGCCTGGCTTTTGGAAATGAGAAGTGAAGAGGCATGAAAGCTGTTTATGGTGTAAACACTGCGGAAGGAAAGTCATTGTTCTCACAAAATATCCCGTGGATGTAAACTGCTGTAAGGGAATTAATATTTAAAGAAGAAAATGGAGGCCCAATGCAACAGTCATTTGCTAAAGGATGAGATTATTAGACTGTGAGCTAATGTCCCCAAGGAAAGGAGTGAAATCCCAAACAGAGCACTTCTAAGTAGACCATGCAGAGTATAAGGCATGTATCTGATAATGAATCATTCCACAACAGTCCCTGGGGGGATTTCCTCTCTGTCCCCAGTGCACCCCAAACCCTGGCTGGTACCCCCCCATTCCAAACATTTTTTACTAAAAGGAACAGTATTTACAGCTTTTCTTACCTTACTCCTTTCATGTCTCTGTAAAGTCTCTGGTTTAGAACATATGGAGCATCATCTGCAGTACATGCCACGTAGTGTAGGAGAATCTGTCCCTGCTCTGGTGTGAGCTGGTTCTCTTCCAAAAGGGCAATGTATGCACTGATCTTCTTGTTATCCCCATGGGCTTCTGCATCCTGGCAACCAAACATTTCCCATCACATTATGTACATTAGCCACTGACCATTACACTTATTTCATGGATTTAGCACTTGTCTCATTTTTTTTGAGGTGCTCTTCTGGGTCACTGATTTTGTATTTCAGGCACCAACTGCATGACATGAATGTGTCTGTGCTATGATGTCTGACCAGGACACACTGTTACAAGCAAAACCACTTGGTATTTTCATTGGCAAGGGAAATGGATTTCTTTATTCCT